GTGTGTGTGTGTAAGGGTGCTTGTGTGGCATAATATTTTTTAAGCCAAAATACTGAAAAAACACTTCCTTGAAAAAAAAGTTCTTTGTTCATATAAATCAGGGAAATGCCAACTACCTTACCTGATCTTGGAAATTCACATTAGCATGTTACAGATCTGAATATTTCAGCCATAAGAAAGAATGAAATACTGCCATTTGTGATAACATGAATGGATCTTGAGAGCATCCTGTTAAGCGAAATAAGTCAGATGGAAAAAGACAAGAACCATATGATTTCATTCAGATGTGGGATATAAAACAGAAAGCAACAAGTGAACAAACAAAACAAACTCAGACACAGAAACAGAATGGTGGTTACCAAAGGGGAAGGAGGTGGAGGGAAAAGGAAGAGGTTTAGTAAAGGGGGTTGAATTTATAGTGACGGAGGAAGACTAGACTCTGGGCGATGAGCACACACTGCAGTATACAGGTAGGTAATGTATTATAAAACTGTGCAGTTGAAACTTATATAATGTTGCTAACCAGTGTCACCCAATAAATTAAAAAAAAAATTGATCTGAGTATTGAACCCATCGTTTTCCAAACTTACTTGACCATAAAACTCTTCTTTCTTCTTTTTTTTGCCAATATCATAAGATACTAATGTTGTAAGAAACACTCTCTAGGGAGCACAATGTAAAGAAAAAGCTTGAGTAAGATAATATTTTACTCAGTGCTTTAAAATTCCCTTCTAACATCTCATTCCAAACAATAAGATGGGTAACTTTTTTTGTTGCGGGGCTCACTCTGAACTCTTGCTCTGGGTTGAGATGCCTAGAAGAGGAGCCGCGGAAACTATGGGGGAAGTTGTTAGAACAAACATTGTGCTCTCATGCACAGATAGTTCTAATTTTTAATGCAGCTATTCAATCTCACCATTTGTAAAGATAAAATTTCTCAAAACACTTAAAATTTTGTGATAACTCTTTGGTCTCTACTATCAGTTAAAGAATAAAATAATCTTTTCAATTCAACCCCTTGCCTTCCTTCGCTTTATCAGTAGTCATATGCCATCACCCCTCTGGTGATTTTGTTTTTTTCCCCCCAGTCCCTAAAATAAGTTAACAATTGTCAAGTACATATAAATCTTGTGGAGCTTGAATGTTTAAAAAAAAAAAGAATCTGGCCCTAGTTGGTTTGGCTCAGTGGATAGAGTGTTAGCCTGCGGACTGAAAGGTCCCAGGTTCAATGATTCTCTCTCATTGATGTTTCTATCTCTTCCTCTCCCTTCCTCTCTGAAATCAATAAAAATAAATTTTAAAAAATTCTTTAAAAAAGAAGAATCTGCCCTGGCCGGTTGCTTAATGATTAGAGCATCAGCCCAAGGACCAGAAGGTCAAGGGTTCAATTCCTGGTCAAGGGCACATACCTGGGTTGTAAGCTTGCTCTCCAGCGCGTCAGGGCATGTGAGGAAGGCAACCAATCGATGTGTCTTTCTCATTCCGTTCTCTCTCTCTCTCTCCCTCCCTCCCCCTCTTTGCACTCTCTCTAAATTAAAAAATCAGTGGAAAAAATATCCTCAGGTGAAGATTAACAACAAAAAGAATCCCACAATACTTGAGCCTAGTAATCCTCACACTTCTCCTTAGCCTCTCACCTCTAGGAATCACTGATGCAGCCCCTTTGCTGGGGGCCTTGATAGTATTTATGTAACAATTGCATCTTACTATTGTTAGCAGCACTAATGTATTTTACTCTTAAGTATCTGTCCTGCACTGCACCTGAGGTTACTTCTAGTGACCTTGGAGGTGGGCAAATATATAGTAATTTGAGAATTATTGAGGATTGAGAAGGTGTTCATCTCCATAATTCTAGAAAGGCTGGGGAAGGCAGACTGTCCAGTTGTGCTGCTTCCGAGGAACAGAAGAACTGGCTGGAGTGTGGGTTGGGTGTGGCAAGGAGGTCAGGCTTGGGAGAGGCCGCGCAGCTTGGTCCGGCCCAGGGCATGCAGGTTGCTGAGCACCTTGCCGTGTGAGCTCCTCCACGACCCTGTCAGTAATCTCAGTACGCTTAGCAGACGCCAGGCTGAAGTAGATTTATTTTTCCAAGATTGCAAAGAGAAACATAGCCAGCAAAGATGAGAAAAGAGACTGAGAAGACCAGAGGGAATTAGGTTGGAACTCATTGATATAATACAGGTCCTGGATTCTTAACACATGACAGAATTGGGGGTTTGAGCCAAGTTTACCTAGAGACCCACAGCACAGTGAAGCCCCACATGATATCTGAGTTACAGGTGATTTAAGCTTGATCAGTTCATAAAATAAAAAGAAGTAGATTCAGACCATAGCTTTGCTTCCGGCGTGAAGGGACAAAAGCTATGAAGGTGTTTGAGTAATTTTGCCAAAAGCAAGCATTGCATGCTTGGATATAAAGTATTTTAGCAGTCGGTTGGAATGAACTAAAGTTAAGCAGCTCGTCATCTTTGTATGAATGAATGGGAAGGTGCTAATTGTCTCTGGAAAAGGTTTGTAGGTAGGGGAGTGGTAGTAAGCAAGGGACGTGTGCAATGCTGTATCCGTTACGTTCACACCAGCAGTTGCTGTAAGTGGCAAAAATACACAGGATTTATTCTGAACCCCTAGCTCTCTTTTTCGTTGTTAACCCCCCTTTTAGTATTTGGATTACAATGGGATAAGGAGCAGGCAGCTGTGTTAAAGCCCTGTGTAAGTGGAGGATGAGTCTGTACTTGTCACTTGTACATGGCAGCAGTAATTAGGAGGCCTGTGGGAGGCTCTTTTGTTCCTTTCACATATTTGCACCGAAGAAAACTTGAGAAAATCCAATTCTGGCTGGATCTTAAATACCTTTTATCCTTTCATGAAGTAATGGTAGTTTTAAAAATATATTAAAAATTAGCTATCCTAGGACCAGGTGTCTTTTTGAAAAGCAAAGGAATACAAACGCTTATGTGAAGAATGAAGTGAAAATCAGTCCACGAAAAATTTGAGGAGATTTGCTTTGTTTTTAAGACTGAATGGTCTTTGGTTTCTCCTTCACTTTTGGAAATCTGGATTAGATGTAATTAAGTAACTGTTTGAAAATATGATATAGGTATGTAAGTGCCTCCTCATTTGTGGGTGCTCTTGCTAACATGCGAAAGTGCCTGTGCCACACAGCAGACATCACAGCCACCACTTCTTGTCGCTGGTGATGCTCAGTCAGTCCTGCCACTTATTGAAAGGCACAGGGACAAGGGGGTGCAGATACTGAGGAGGTGGTAGCGGGGGAGGGGAGGCAGCTTGTCCTGTACTGGCTTTATCTGAATCCTTTATCCAGATAACAGTGCAGTCACAAGCAGAATTGTTTTTTAAAATACATGACCTGTACGTTATATTTTTGGATAATCCAGTGACCTTAAAAACACCCACCTGCTATATAAGAAACTCTTAATAGTCATTGCCTCTTGGGAGGGGAATTGGGGCCAGTGGTAGGAGAGAGATTTTGTTATCATTGTGTATCCACTTTGGGAACTTTGGGCATTTATTCCATGAATATTTATGTTCTATATTTTAAAAAAGAAAAGGAAAAAAGTCCCTCTAAGCATCCCATCTCCTGGCAGGATCCTTGGCTTCCCACCCTGCACCGCCCACCCCCCCAGATCATCTGTGATTTCCTCTGCAAACCCTTTCCCATCCCTCCCCCCAGTTTCTTTTACTTTTGAGAAAAACACTTTCTGAATTCATTGACTTTTCTGCTTCGTCTCTAATTTTGTACTCCCTACCCCTTTCACGAATGTCACCGAAGATTTCTTACCGTGAAATGCAGTAACTTCCTCTGAAACCCTGTTTGACCTTTCTGGGTCATGGACTTGCTCTCTCCTCCCAGCCTCCCTGACCATTGCCTCCTGATCCATGTTGACCTCTCATCTCTGCTGTGACTCCACCTTTATTCACTCTGTACCGTTGTTCTGAGCAAGTTTTTTTAAAACTCTTTGGTGAAATCATCTATGTCAGCAGATGCGACCTCACTCCTCAGCTCTACGCCTGTATGTTTACTGGCCCACTAGGCATGTTTAGTTCTCAATTCCGTGGGCACCTCAAAATCAAAATAGCCTGAACTTATTGTCCATTCCATCACCATCCAAATTCCCATTTTCCCCACTTGCTGTATTTTATTACTTGGAGCACCCAAGCCAGAAACCTGGGAATTATCCTAAATTTCCCCTCCACCTCACAAGGGTTCCAGGTTGCCTTGCTGTAACATGCAAATATTGGCTCTGTTTTTATCACACCCTTTCATTTTTTCAAATAAACTCTAAATTAGGCCTCATTCCAGATGGACTTGGGAGAAATGTTATGCATATGAATGTTCTGTCCTTATTAAAAGTAGTTGGGGCCATTTTAATTATTCCTCCACTTTGAGGATTGAGGATTTTGTTTATGAATCCATAGAACCTCATTCCAGGGGCATTTCTGCATTTGAGACATGAGCTTAGTTTTTATTTAAAACTAAGTTGGCAATTATATAACTTCACAGAGTTTATGGTTTGTTTATTTATTTATTTATTTATTTATTTATTTATTGCTACTTATGTTGTTGTATTTTGCTTGATTTCCTAGTCAGTCATGAAAAAAAAAAAATACAGTTAAGAACTGGATTTGTGAGCATCTCTTTTTTATTGGGAGTTGATTTGCCCACGGTCAGTATTTTTCCTGTTTTTGGTGCCCATTTGGGGCTGACAAGTTTGTGGTACTTCAGTGCCATCACCCTGGTTATCCATGGTCATGGGTGATATACTAGTAGAAGTAGGTGATGGCACTAAGATTTATATGGACTTATATTTTGTAATCTTAATTAATTGAGATTTAAAGCAACCCTCCAAAAATAGTTACAAAGAGATATTCTTTGTTTTATGTGTTAACAATAATTTGTTTACTTGAATTTTTGTTACCTGTGGCTATCACCTGAAGAATGTATGGTCAGTGATTGACGTTCTCTCTCTTTTTTTCTCTCTCAGTGCAATGAAACTTCATTCTTTTTTGAAGCTCGGAGTAAAACTGCTTGCAAGCATCTTTGGAAGTGTAGTGTAGAACATCATACATTTTTTAGGTATGTTAATGTGAAAGTTTTGTTGATTGTTCTAACAAGTGAAAATTGCATTTGTTTTTATAACAAGAATTCTCTTCTATCTACAGTAGAAATTTGGAAGTTTTTCTCTTTTATTTTTTTCAGTCACCTAATTCTCTTGATCACATTAATAGAAATAGATATATATGCACAGACATGCATACACACATACATGCACACATAGATACCTTCTTTGCTCACATTATAAGAAAGGCCAAGGACAGTTTTTATTTGTTTATGTAAAAAGTACAGCTTTGGTATTCGTGGAAAGTAAGTGTTCTGCTGTGGACATACTAAATTTGAAATGCCTTTTAGTCATCTAAATGGAGACGTTGGATGTATAAGGCTTACTAGAAAGACCAAGGTTGGCCATGTAAATTTAGTTAGTATTTAAGCAAAGCTGACTGGATGAGGTCACGTTGGAGAAAAGTGAAGAGAGAGAAACAGGAAGCCAAGGACTGGGCTGTGGGACCCTGCCAGCATTTAGAGCAGAGGTCCTCAGACTTTTTAAACAGGGGGCCAGTTCACTGTCCGAGGTGCACACTGCGGGCCTGGGACGAGTCGGCTTCTAAGCAGGGCAGGCAGCGGCGGCAAAAACACCCGGAGGGCCGGATAAATATTTTCGGCGGGCCACATGTGGCCCGTGGGCCATAGTTTGAGGACCCCTGATTTAGAGGACTGGAAGAGCCAGCCATGGATTATGAGAAGGAGTAACCTGGAAAGTGTGTAAGGAAATGGAAGATGAAGGAGGAAAATGTCATGTTGAATTTTCTCTGTTGCATGCTGTGCTCCTGGAAGGTCAAGTGGGGGTGGAGAATTGACCGTTGTATTGTGGGAATACTTTTTGTTTATTTCACATCTTTATGGTATAAAGATAACACTAAATTTTGTCAGGTAATACATTCAGCTGTATTTGTGTTTTTAAATTTAAAACTAGATTCATTCTTCCCCTTACTCCTATTTGGTTTGCATGGAGCAGTTTCCCCAAATAGCATGATATTGGAGACGTATTCTAATCAAATGACCAGTGTCCTTTATTTAGCTTGTATTAGGGCAGGGATGTTTCCCAGAAAGCCTGAGACATTACCTCTCGGTCAGGGGCCTTGGTGGAACAGGTCCCCATGGAAGTGTCTGTTGAAGGTACCCTGGAGAGGGAAGTGCTGGACTATAGTACAAAGGAGACTGAACCACTCCTCAGAGATGATTAACTGCTGTGAAGGCCTTGGCTTGAGTAAATCAACCTAGTGACAAAGTTCTCAAGATTATTTAAGCAGAGAAAGTAATATGAATCACAACTAAAGCTTCTAAGGACAATGATGTCTTCAGAAAGTATGAGTATTTCAACATTATATATAAATTCCTAGAGTGTGTTTGTGTTTCAACAGTTAGCTTATAATAACATTATTATTTCCTGCCAATGTGTAGAACAAATAAGATACGTTGATTAGCTGTTAAGGTGTTGTATGATTATATTTTCTACGTAGCTTTTGCTCAAATGTTGCAAAAGTATCTGTATTTCTGAGTCTTAATTTAATTTTATTTTAAAAATTCATTAGAATGCCAGAAAATGAATCAAATTCACTGTCAAGAAAACTCAGCAAGTTTGGATCCATGAGTTATAAGCACCGCTATAGGTAAATACCATTTTTTTCCTTGGGGTGTGTACATGTAAATACATAAATATTTAATTCAGCTGTTCACATACAGGCACATTAAAGTTTTTTTTTCTTATTTTTGTACCGTGCCAGTGAATTTTATTAGCATAATAGTTTATTAAAACTTTTTTGACAAAAACGATTTTCCAGGCTTAATTATATTTAATGTCTGTATTAGCTCTGTTAAGTTTAGAACTTTTAGAATGTACTAGAGTTTATCTTCTGAAATGTATTTTGATGGACATATCACTTGTAATTATGTTGTGATTAGGAGATAATAGATATTTTGAATAGTAGCTGATTGGTGTTCTTAGGACATTCAGTCGATCCCCTGTTGTAATACAATGTATACTTTATATTGTGCATCAAATCATATTTTCTGCAGCATAAAGCCTACATGTAGTGAGGCTAGCAATTACATCTAAAATTTATTGAGCAGTATTAAGTGCCATGTATTGTGCTAAATGTTTTCCATTTATTATTTCATTTAATCATCACAGTCTTCTTAATATTACCCTGATTAATATGTGAGGAAACTAAGGCTCAGCAAGGCCAAGTCACTTCTCCAGGTAACCCAGCTAGAAGCAGTAAAATGGAGTTCACACCCTGGCCGTCTAACTCCAGGGCCTGTGCTTCTGTCCATTAGGCAAAGTGTTAGCATGTTGCAGGAAAAGGCTGGTTGTAATTGTCCTGCAGCCAGGCAGGTGCTTGTGTCTTTTTCAAGTTCCAGTATCAAAAGTGGGAGCTTTCTATGTTTTTTTTCTTAATATATTTTTATTTATTTATTTTTATTTTTAAAAAATATATATATATTTTATTGATTTTAGAGAGGAAGGGAGAGATAGAAACATCAGTGAGAGAGAATCCTTGATTGGCTGCCTCCTGCACAGCCCCCACTGGGGATCAAGCCCGCAACCCGGGCATGTGCCCTTGACCGGAATCGAACCCGGGACCCTTCATCTGCAGGCCGGCGCTCTAACCACTGAGCAAAATCAGCTAGGGCTGAAATATTTTTATTGATTTCAGAGAGGAAGGGAGAGGACGAGAGAGATAGAAACATCAATGATGAGAGAGAACCATTGATCGGCTGCCGCCTGCACGCCCCATACTGGGGATGGAGACCACAACCTGGGCATCAAACCGTGACCTCCTGGCTCATAGGTCAATGCTCAACCACTGAGCCACGCCAGCCGGGCAGCTTTCTATGTTTTGAAAAATAATTTGTTTTGTTTCAACTCCTTCTGTTAATAGAGAGTGTGTGAGGTGCAAGACATGGTATTGGGTGCCTTAGAGATGCAAAGATTCAGATCTTAGCACCTCTGCCTTCAGAGAGCTACATCATTCCGGCAGTGAGGCTGGTCCGAGGCCCTGTAAAACCCAAGCAGAGTGCAGAAATGCTGCTCAGGAGGTGTGACACTGTTCTGTCAGCCCCACTGGAGACATCACTGAATGAAATGCTTACCTAGGAAACTTAAAAGTAGAGCCAAGCTCTGGCCAGGTGGCTAAGTTGGTTGGAGCATTGTCCTGTGCGCCGACAGGTTGCAGGGTCGATTCCTGGTCAGGGCACATACCTACATTGCAGGTTCTATCCCTAGTCAGGATGCATATGAAAGGTAACTGGTTGATGTTTCTCTCTCCCTCTGTCTCCTTTTCTCTTTCTCTAAAAAATCAATAAAAGTATATCCTCCAGTGAGGATTAAAAATAAATAAATAAATAAAACCAAGTCAAGTGTTTGTAGGACAATGGTATGCCAGATTTTAATTCCTCTCTCTCTTTCTTTTTTTGTTTTGTTTTGTTTTGTTTTGTTTTGTTTTGTTTTGTTAATCCTCACCTGAGGATATTTTTTCTATTGCTTTTCAGAGAGAGTGGAAGGGAGGAAGAGAGAAAAGAGAGAGAGAGAGGAACATTGATGTGAAGGGGGTACATCAATTGGTTGCCTCCCACACTTGTCCCAATCGGGGACAGGGATTGAACCCACAACCCTGGTACATGCCCTTGACCGGGAATTGAGCATGAGACCCTGTGGTGTGTAGGCTGGTGCTCTAACCACTGAGCACACCAGCCAGGGCTAATTCCTCTTTTATAACCCACATGTTTGGCCTTGAAGTTGAAACCAGAGATAATCAATAACAGAGTGATTAATAGTAAATGTTCGCTGCATTCATTGTTACACATTATTCATTTGCATATTTGCTTATTTGATGACATATAAAACCTAAGTAATTATAGATGTTCTCGCTACTTGGTGTTCACTGATAACTAAAAATTTAACCTTTTGCTTATCAAGGTTCTTGCTCAGACAGTGATATAATTATCAGGAACTTAAGGGAAGAGTACCTATTTTATGTTGAGGTGAACAGCTAATAGTCACCATTTGGGCTGTTCTTCCATTTAGAACATAAAACACAGAGAAAATGTGTAACTCTATCTCTGTGTTCCTATTATTAAAATTGCAATTATGCTGCTTAACATATGCTGTAGTTAGTTTCCACAAATTTACTAATACCTGATTTCTCAAATTTATTGAAATGCAAATGTTGTGGCTACTGGGAATTATTATTATTGGATTTTGCATATTAAATATCATTTCTTCCAAGAAAGTAATTAAAGGTAACCTTTGCAGAACTGGAAGCCCTGCTAAATCTGTTCTAATTTGGTGGCTGGTCTTAACTGCCTAGTCAGTTTTAATGAAACCCAAATCTCTGTCTCTGTCTGTAGGAAGCATAATGTTACTCCATCCCTGGAAGAAATGTGTTTCATTCCACTGCCCAGAGCTGGTCATGGGCAGGGATGGGTCTCGGACTCCTGGGTGGTCTCCAGCACCTGGACTGTTAGTTGTCAAAAGAGGAAAAATACCCAGCCTTTAACAAACATCATATGCCTGCTTCTCTCTTGAGATGTTCTGTAGACCTCATGGAATGAAGGGAACACAGCCCCTTCCTTTGCCGGCAGGCTTTTAGAGCATGAGGGATAAAGAGCAGCATAAATGCTGCAGGGTGCAAATGCAGGTGTGTCTGCATTTGTGTGTATAATTATGTGTAGACGTTTACAGTGGTGCATCTGTACGTGTATGTGATGTAGGAAGACAGAGTTCTAGTCTTGATCCCTTTCTTGCATCTTCGGGCACGCTGAATATCAATGAGATTTCAGTATTTTTTAGAAAAATTAGTCATTACTTAAGAAGGGGGAAATATTACACATTTGTAGTGATGTGTGACAGTCAATCAAAATTCCAGATTTTGTGAGGGAAATCTGAGCTGAAATCCAACAATCTAATTCCTTTGTTTTATTATCAGAGACCAATAATCTGAAATAGAACTTGATCGAATCTTTGATTAAAATATTTCGTTATACACTGATATTTCTTTCCCTGAACCCCTTAGAAATTAACTTTGCATTTACCTGTTGTTAAGTTAGTAGGGGACTCCTTGTTTTGATGAATAAGTTGAATAGAATTTATATTCCAGGAATGAGAATTGGGCCTGAGAAACACCCCCTGGGAACCCAGATGACCTTCTTGTAGGACTTAAATCTCATGAACTTTCCACATTTCTTTTTTTTAAAAAAAAAATATGTATTTATTGATTTTAAAGAAAGAGGAAGAGAGAAGAAGAGGGGGAGAAAGAGAGATACGTCAATTGGTTGCCTCCAGCACACACCCTGACCTGGGATCGAATTCACAACCTGGGCATGTGCCCTGACTGGGACTCTCACTGGTGACCTTTTGGTGCATGGGATGATGCTCAACCAACTGAGCCACACTGGCCAGGGCTCCACATTTCTTAAAATCTGAAAGAGAACAAATTCTCATGAGAGCCTCCTTCGTGTCAGGTGCTTGCACAGGTGTCACTTTATTTAACCACATAAAGTAAATATGGGATGGGCTCAGTGACCCGCCAAAGGAGGTTTCTCTTCATTTATACAGATGAGAAATTTGAGCCCCAAGCCCCAGAGTAAACTAACTGAACTAAAGGCCTTTATCAGTAAGTGGGATCGCTGGGATTTGAACCCAGGTGTCTCTGTTCTTGTTCTCTTTCCTCTACCCCTCACTTTGGAGCTGTAGGGCCACTCAGCATAGAATGGGAGTGTGTATGCCAGAGTGTGAGGAGGTAAGGAGTGGGTGATCATGGGAATAATTCTCTGCACTGTCTCTACAAAGAGTCACCATTTATCAAATACTGTCTGCTACAAGGAAATAGTAAGAATGCTGCACAATAATATTTCCACTCGGAAATAGTAAGAATAAGTAGACATATATTATCAATGTTGAAAATAAGGCTCTAGGAGATTTGAAAAATAGCCTGTTGAAGATCATACAGTTGAGACAGAGCTATACTTGCAACTACAGACCAATGGCTTAGTGTTCTCTTCCTCCTTCCACTGCCCAGCTGTGCCATGCTGACCAGCTGGAGGTCGGGAAACTTGTTCTAGTCTTAGGTCCTGTACAGCTGGTGGCAGATCAGGGTATGGTTCTGGGCCATAGTTTTATTAATCTTGTGATATGATTTTGTCATGTCTCCGTTATTCCTGAGAGAAAACGCGTGTGGAAAAATTGAGTAAGTAAAATCTCATTATAAAATGTCTCAGGGGTCCACATGATGGGTTATATTTTTAGGGCAAATTTTTTTTCTTCTATGCAATAAAGTACACAGTACCCAAGTCTTAATCAGGGAAAGTCTGTTGGAAGTCGGTCTTATCTTCACACTCCATTCTACTTGTAATAATAGAATTTTGCTCTCTATAGGGATTTTTGTTTTTAACTTTCCAGGAGAGAGATATTGCTGTTTGTGTTAGTGATCTTATTTACTACCTTTAAAAAAAAATAGTTAAATTTCAAGTGAAAAAAAACCCAGCCTGTCACAGTTTGCTCCCCTCTCTCACCCCAGTTCTCATGAAGTATTGAACACTAGTACACTCATAGGTGGACCCCGGCATCTTCATTCATGGTAGCTCATATCAAGTTGTGTCCCTAATTATCCTGATGATAAGCCTCTTTTTATGGTTGTTTCAAGCACTAAAAAAAAAAAATCTAATAAAGGTGAATGGGGTAGTGAGGAAGGGAAACTCTCACAGAAGCATGTAGGAGGTAAATTTTGCTCTGTAAGTCTCATTTGGGAGAGATTCACTGATATTTGTTCTGTAAATGTAGGATGAATAGGATTTGGGGCCATTAAAAGGCTTTCTGGCTCTTCTTGAGGTGAATCAAACTAGATAAAAAGAAAAGCATTTTTCCTTGTCCCTAATGATATTTTCCTTGTACCTAAATGAAATTTTCACCTAAAATATTTAGGTGAAAGCTGGGGTCATTTATTGGCTCAAATTCAGCAGCTGTGGGATGAATTTTCAGTAGGATGAATGTTCACTGAAACCCAGAGAATGAAATCACACATTTCTCAGAGATTATTCCGTCCCCAGAGAAAGCTCAGCCTCCTGAATCCTCATAGCACTTCAGGGAAGCAGCACTGTGCGTGGGGTTTCTGGCCTGTTTTAAATCTTCCTGGGCACCTGATCTAGTGCAGGTGGGGCGAGCATAATAAAAGGTTGATTGTGCCATAGCAGGGTGGAGAGTAGACCACACAGTGGTCCTGAGGGGATGCTGTACAACTTACCATGGGGTGATGCCGATTCACGTAGAGTCATTGCCCTTATGCAATTCAGCCCAACATAATTTCTTCATCATTTTGTTGTAGAGTTGGAAGGCGATCAGAATTCTCTATTGCTAGCCCACCATTCTGTTAAATCTAAACCTTAGTCCTCCTTTAATAAACCCCCATTTCCTGTTTCTTCTCCTAAAACACATTCCTTCTATCTAACCTAAATGTTTCCTATTAGAATTTAATACTACTTCCTTGGTTAATATTGCAATGTGAATCAGTTGGGAACCTATGTATGCTTACAGCTCCTGTGAGTGTGTGTTTTTTCTTCTTTCCATACTTTGCAGATATTCTGAATGAGCTGTTGTTTACTTTTGTGCTGTGTGGTTTTACTTGTGTTAATCAAAATGTTGCATTTTCAAGTGGCAGGACAGCATTGCAAATGAGTCGAGATCTTTCTATTCAACTTCCCCGGCCAGATCAGAATGTGGCAAGAAGCCGAAGCAAGACTTACCCTAAGAGAATAGCACAGACACAGCCAGCTGGTAAGTCGTGGATGTAAACATGCATTTCCTTTTAGGCTGATGGTGTAAGATATACTTAGGTGGTGACTATAGCCCAATAGTTCTTTTATTATTAACTAGAGGCCCAATGCACAAAGATTCGTGCAAGAATGGGCCTTCCTTCCCCTGGCTGCCGGCACTGCCTTCCCTCCAGCCAGGAGCCACCTTTCCGCCTTCTCACGCTGCCCAGTGGCCCGGCGCAGCTGGGGCGGTGCGGAACGCCTGCATCGTCGCCATGGCAACGACACAAGTGTCCCACCCCGCCCTCCAGCCGTTCAGCTCTTATGTATGCATATTAACCCTCCATCTTTGTTGGGTTAATTTGCATACTCCTGATTGGCTGGTGAGCATCACGAAGGTATGGTCAATTTGCATCTTTCTCTTTTATTAGTGTAGATACTGGAATTTTTAATTTGACCCTGAAAATATCTAAGCAGTCAGAAATTATTAATAAGTAGACAAGTAGTTAACTTGAGTCACCATAGCCTGCCTAATGACTATACTTGCTTTTTGAAGAGATTAAAGTCTCAACCGAGTAATTTCCTGGTTGGGTGTGTCTGAGATTGGAAGTGAAGCAAACTTTTAGGAAAGTATTTATATACACACACACAATTTATACAGAATTCAGTAGGTTTTTTGTTATTGTTGGTTTTTATTGTGAAAAATAATATACATATAGAAAATGTATAAAATATACATATATATGCACATACACACAAAAAATTTAACATAGCCTTCAAGCCAAGAAGTTCCTTTTATTTATCTGTTCACATCTTTACCATCCCCTTCTTTCCCAACCAGAAAAAAGACACCATCTGACTTTGTGATAATTATTTCCTTACTTTTTGTTAGAATTTTACTGCTTATGTAGGTTTCTCTGAGCAAACTAACTTATTTTGTCTATTTTTAACATTAGATGAATGAATCATGGTCTCTGTTTTTTTGTAGTATATACTAAATGTATTCATTTTTCATGCTGTGAGTATTCTATTTATCACAATTTTGTTTATCCATTCTACTATTGATGGACATTTGGATTACTAATATTATTTGTTTTTAATGTAGACTACTTTAATGAAACCACTTAACCAATCAGTTTTAATCCCTGTTTGTTGTTCAGAGCTCATAGAATTTTACTGACTTTGTTGTGGCTTGTTTATAGATCACCCTTGCCTGACACTCTCCACAGACTTTTCACATATATTATCTCACTTGTGCCTCACAATAACCCTGTGAGGTAGGGCAAGACCCAGAGTATGTGCCCATTTTGCAGAGCAGGGAGAGATGGCTCAGCCGCTAGATAGGGGTGGGGCTGGGATGAAAACCCAGGTCTCCTGGATCATTTTGCTATGTAGCATTGTGTGAAGTGATTTCAGAGAGAGAGGAAGGGAGAGAGAGATAGAAACATCAGTGATAAGAATCATTGATTAGCTACTTCCTGTATGTCCCCCACTGGGCATCGAGCTCAAAACCCACAACCCAGGCATGTGCCCTGACTGGGAATTGAACCGTGACCTCCTGGTTGATAGGTTGACGCTCAACTCCTGAGGAACACCGGTCAGGGAAGTGAATGGAATTTTTACTCACAGTAATTAACCTCCAAACATTGCATGGCCATTTACATAGCATACGACATCCATTGTTTCATTTAACTCTCATGCCAGGGATATAAAAAAAGTGTTTGAGTTTTCTCCACTGCTGTTGGTTGTGAGAATGTCATGTGACTTATTGTTTCTAAAGCCAAATTAAATCTGATTGTAGGTTCCTTCCTCGCACTAGGCTGGGAGGAAATGAAATTCTTTCTGATGGGTCCTCAGTGGCAAAAATTAGACATGATTTAATTTTGCAACAGATTACCTTGCCACATAAGTATTATCATTATCCCCATTTGGGTGATGAGCAAACTGCGATTTAAAAAGGTAATTTGGCCAAGATTACTTAATAGGTACATAGCTTAGGACAAAAATTATAGCCTTAATATTTAATGTCTTTATCTTCACCTTTTGCATTTATTTTTGTATACGAGAAGCCTTAAATCCCATTTAGATCAAGTTCAGTGTGGTATAATCAGTAAGCAAACTTTCAAATCTTGTGCTATTTCTGAAACGCCATGCCTCATGAAATTATTCCGAGACCCACTGAGAATATAAAAACATTCCTTGCTTTAAATCAACATTTCATTCCTCTTGAGATGCAGGAAGCATCGCACATGCTTTTTTATAAACCTGTGCAGGTTGCTTTTTTCTTCTCGTATGTTCTTATAGAAATATCGGCCAATGTATCTCTCTCTCTCTCTCTCTCTCTCTCTCTCTCTCTCTCTCTCTATTTTCTGAAGCCCAAATTCTAGAAGCTGATTAATTTAGGGACAGGGGTTTGGGTTTTCTCATGGCTTATGCAGATCCAGTGAAATGCAGTTTTCACAGAGCCACCTGGGACTGTATTGAGCCCTCACATCTACCTTCCACCTCAAGTCCCACCGCCATGTGTCCTATTAACCACACTCCCTCTTTGGTAAGGAATAAGAATGTGGCTAACGCATGGCCCACGTCCTCTAGGATAGCCTCTCAGGTGGCTCTTTTAAAATTAGAACACATGTTATGCTTTGATTATTATAAAAATACATTCTTGCTTTAGAAAATTTGGGAAACTTGGAAACTTCCCATCTATAAAGTTTAAAAATGTTATATTAAATTCCATTCTCCTAGTACAGACACTATATTATATAGCCTCTAGTCATTTGTATATCTTTTCTGTAAAAGTTATATAGTAATATTTTACAACTTTCTTTTCTTATCTAATATATTATGGATATGTTCTAATAAGTTTTTTAATGTTGTTATACAGCCCCATTTTAAGAGCTGTGTATTTTCTCCTGCATAGATGTATAATGGACTTGACATAATTTATTCAGCCAATCTTTAGTTCTTGGATATTGAGGCCATTTCAAATTTAGGAGACTATAAATGTAACTAAAGTGAGTGTTCTTGTAGTAATATCTTTAAGCATTCATGCTAATTCATTATATACTAGAGGCCTGGTGCATGAAATTTGTGCATGGGTGCAGTCCCTAAGCCTGGCCGGTGATCAAAGCATAAGCGCCTGGCGTGGAAGGGCAGATCCCAGCTGACTTCTGGGCCCTGGGCAGTACCTGGGCTGCTGGGCCCTTGTGCACCCCCCTCAGCCTGAGTCATGGCGCCTAAGTCCCCATGCAAAGATGCGGTGAGCATGGCCAGACACCGCAGGCCGGGGCACAGCATGGGCCTCTGGGGCGCCCAGCGGCGCCACACGGAAGCTGGGTGGGCAGCGTGCTCTCTCCTGGCCAGCCTTGCAGACCGGCTCTTACACAAACCCATGGGGAGCCTGACTGGCCCCTGTGGTCCCATCATCTGCGGCCTGGCTCACTCAGAAGAGGCTGCACGGGTGTGGGGTGGGCTCCTTACGGGTGCCCGGCACCCGAGTGTGAGGGCTTCCCTGGCGCATGACCCCTGGTGTCCCGGGGGAGGGTAGCAAGGGGAGTGAGAGCGAGCTCAGTGGATACCCTGCATTCTCACCACACCTCTGTCCCCGTCACCCCCACCCCAACACCCAGGTAGCCAGTGAGAGGTCGTAGCCCCGAGCCTGGGTGCCATGGGAGGTTGGTTGCCACCACCCACCTCTAGTTGCCCGTCCCAGCCCGGGGCCAGGCCCCGATTAGGTGATCAGGGCATGCCAACCGGGGTGGGGAGGGACCCAGGAGGTTGGCCGCCAGCCCCGAGGAGGAAGCGGGCACTCGCCCCCCTGGGAAAGGGCCATATGTGCCGCCACCCACTCCTGGCTCCCCGTCCCAGCCAGAGGCCCGGCCCTGATTGGGCGAGGGGGGCCTGCTGGCCGGCGGGAGGGACCAGAAGGTTGGCCGGCAGGCCCCATCCAGTGGTTGGGGTCTGCAGGCCGGGGACAGCTTCTGCATTGAGCATCTGCCCCTTGGTGGTCAGTGCACATCATAGCGACTGGTCATTCCAGTCATTCCAGTCATATGGTCACTTAGGCTTTTATATGTATAGGTATCTTAAACCAGCAGTCGCCAACCTTTCAGACCTCATGGACCACCAGTGGTCCGTGGACCATCAGTTGGTGACTGCTGTCTTAAACAATGGTGTATTTTCATCTTTAAAAGAGGATTAAATAATACTGTGTTTAAAAACTAAGATTTTCTGTGAGTGTATTTCACTTTGAATTGAATTACTTCCAGCCTAACTTTTCAGGCCTGTGTTCCACAAAACTGTGATGTGCTTTGGGGACCCAGAGAGAACCTCCCCTTGACAGTGCGTGATTGGGTGGGGATGGATCATTTAGCAGATATCAATGATGCAGTGTTATGGTTGCTGTCACGTATATATGGAGGATGTTGTGAAGGATGGACAAATGTTATTCTGTTTCTTTAAATGTCACATTTTCTCTTTCCTCTAATTCACATGTACTCTGCTGTGAGCCTCATTTGAATCCAGCTGGCAGAGACCCAACCTCAGCCATCTCCTACTCCTCAGGTCATGGTTGGGTTCTAACTTAGAGCAGAATATTTGAAGGGGGCCCTCTTGTCTTCAACTATGTCAGTCACTACTGTGCTCCTTGTCCCAGCCCACCAGGCCCCATGAGGGTGGGCAGTTCTGTGTGAAGCTGGGACACTGCGGGGGGAAGAAGAGGGTTCTTTGGTGAGCCTCTCAGCTTAGGCTTGTCAACCATTGGCTGTTGGTGCCAACTCAGTGTTGACAGGAATCCCCAATTTGTGGTGCGGTGAAGAAGGAAACTGCAAATAGCTCAATTATGATACAGCACGGCTGTGGAGTAGCTCAATAGTGTTATAGCTCAATTATGAAACAGGTTGGATGTGAAACAGCACATCTCCGAGGTGGCTCTCACTCTGCTCTGCCCTCACTCTGCTCTGCCTGGGTCCAGTAAGATACCTTTGGTGTTTCAGCTCCGCCTGGGAAATGCAGTCTCTAGTC